AACAACGAATTGAGGGAATCGACAAAACCCTTCACGACATCACGCAGATGCTGATTACGTTGAGTCTTGAAAGAAATTGCGAGCTCATGGAGAAGCAAGCTAATGAGAATTTGTAGACTTTAACTTATATGAATGTTAGCTGTTTTAACAAGCATAAAACATGGAAACAAGTGGCTAAAGAATTTCCTTGAATCTCAGCCAAGTTCGCAAACACACAAGTTATCAAGAATTCTTTTCTTCAACAAAACTCGAGGACGAGTTTTTTTCAAGTGGAGGGAATTTATATAATATATCACAACTACTAGAGTTTTACTATAATTATATTTTCTAGGAGTTTATCTCTTAATTATGTTTATCTATTTAGTTGTAATAAAACCTTTATATTTTATTTGATTAGGACTTTTATATTTTAGTTAATTAGGATTAAAATTTCAATTAGTTTTAATTTCATAATACTATTAGAAGTAGGGAATAATTTTCTCTATAAATATAAGGGCATTGTACATTTTTCATCAACAATAAATTATTATTCAATATATACGTGACATGATTGTCCAAATATCATTTTTATTTATTACGTAATTCTTATTACAAGAATTCATAACGCTTCTGCACCACTAATTGTACAATACCAGGATTGTAACTTAATGAATTAAGCTAGTTGTATAATAAATTTTTACAACTAATTTGACAATGTATGAGGTGTAAAGATACTGGCCGTTAGTGTTTTGCAAATCAATGGCCAAGATCCTTGTCAACTAGTACATTGTCAAACTAGTTTTACAAATAGCATGATTGTAACCTCGATAAATGAAGCTAGTTATAACTAGTTTGACAACTCACACATTGTCAAACTAATTGTACAAGTAGCATGATTTGTAACTTTAATGAATAAAGCTAAATGTATAATGGATTTGTACAACTAATTTGACAACAAATAGGAATGCAAACATTAGATGTTTCTCAGACCACCACTTCCTTGGACAGAAATCAATAGGCAGGGAAAATGAACTTGAATAGGACAATGAACTCTGGTTAGATGAATCAATTAGACAAGAAGACCGTCTAAATTTAAATTTTCATTCCACAACAATTTTCACCTCAAAAATCATAATGAAGTTTAATGGGTTTTTACGTCTCTAAAATTTTAAGATCTCGAAATTGTAGTGAAATATCAAAATTTTAGTGCAGAACAACTAAGGGAAACGAAAACCTTACATAGACAAAATACTCAACAAGAACCAACAGTCAGCATTGAAAATGTTCTACTAACTACTCTAGGATTTTGATTTATTCAGCACACATTTTGACACCCATAAGATGCAGAGTGCAGTAAGCAATTAGAGTAGCATGTTCATACAGACAATTAGATAATCAAATATATTTGCAACTTTGCAAAACTCAGTATAAGCCACACGTCAGATTTTCAACAGGAAATCAAGCAATGTACATCAAAGATGAATCTAGACAAGATTGATCACACTATGGTAAACCTGCACGTCGCCATTCCTTTCAGCCACCAATTAGAGACAAGATTCTTGAAAGCAAAATACCAATGAAGTGTCTTCTCAATTAGATTCTTAGATTCCCTGTAGCAGACTCCATGGTGCAGGTCGTGGACAAAGTTTTTTAAACTTATATCAAGAGAGAGAAACCATAACGTGGAAGCTATTGACGGGATTGGAATCTAGACAAAACTTAGTGGATAAAACTCCCTGTCCCGATTTGGGGATAGGGGTGAAAAGTTTTCACCCCTATCCCCACTTTTCACCCCTGTCCCCAAGCCGGGACTGGGAGCACGCTTGAAACTTAGTTGGGTTACCTAGAGACAAGCTCAACTCGGTCTACAGCCACAGACAGCTTCACAAAAAGACCAGCAATGGCTTCCACATGATCAGTGGCGGATCTAGGATTTTGAGTCAGCACAGATGACCATTGACTGTCGACCGTTGACCTAATAAAATATTACGAGCTCGTTTGATGTCCCCTTTTTTTGTGCAAAAAATGCATTTTGAAATAGTGATTTGATGGAAAATATTTGGTTAAAAATAAGGATAAATTTTGAATTTGCATGTAATATTATTTTATTAAAAAATATATGGTTGAAAATAAAAGAAAGAAAAATATATTCTAAAATAAATGAAAATCAAACAAGATCTAAAATTTAAATATAACAATTATTTTGTTGAAATTAAACATATATAATTTTGTTATAAGAATAGACCATATTCATCAAATGACATTGTTGCCAAATTTTATATAATTCAAAGGAAGAGCACGAGTTCAAATTTTTGCTGTTGCATTAAAACACGCTAAGATCTAAATTATATAAATTTGTTAATGGTCAAACCTTTAACTATTCCAGCAAGAGCTCCAAGTTCGAATCTCCATCTCCTCATTCTATCAATTTTTGGTAAAAATTATAGAGCTAAAAAAATTGTACAATAAAAATTGGTTTATAGAGGATTCAAACCTGAGACATGCAAGAAGTAAAAGACAGTGCTAAACAACTCGGCAAGAAGAAATGTTTAGATAGAGGGTGTATTATAAAAAAATATAACCTAAAATATTTATCTATTGTCAAAAAAAAATAAAAAAATTGGCTGCCGACGAATCTAGCACACACGGCCGCGGGTGCTCGCCAGGTGTTGTATCCGTCAGTGCACATGATTCATTCAAATTGGTTATAATGTATACACAGTAAATAGAAGTAGCATGTATATTTTAGCTACCACCAATCACACTGCTTCATATGTCTTACGATTCTTTCACCATCTTCCACTAATAAAAAAAGCTACAGTTGGAAGCAGTGCAAAGAGGATTGAAAAAATGAGACGAGCAATTCAATGGGGCCTCGAGTTTCCTAGTATAATCAAATTCTAACTCAAATACCAACTCAAGTTCTAAAAATTTCAGATCTTCCTACCCCGTTAGGTGTAACCTAAAGACTATCTGGAATCGACTAAAAGATTCAATGTGCCCTAGGGCTTTATATTGTTAATTACCTATTATGAATCTTCCTAACATTTTTTAGAACAAATCGTTCACGTTCCTTGTTCAAAAGCACAATGATGAGCGTTTCCCTTGTTCCATCACTTACCTGTAGGAGTGTCACTACCACTGTTGTGTTTTTTTAAATTGCAAATGCACGATATCATAACAATTAATATAATGAACCTTTGAGTACGGATTATCGTTCCCACGAGAATTATACTTCAATACTTAATCTAATATTTCTAACTCCTATTAGATGAAAACAAACAACGAATGGTGATTCGTTGTGGTTTTTGATCTAACTACATTAAAATATCAAATGCATACAAGGATCGATTTAAAATTCAAATATGGAATGGATTTTAGGAAATAACAATTCCATCTATCGATCACCTTTAAATCATAATTCAAGAGTCATAAATCTAATGTAGTCTTCAATCAAATTCTTCTATTGTATTTAATTTACCCTTATCGAATTCTCATTAAATATATTTAACTAATTCAATCACATATTTCTATGTGACTCAATCTTAGTTAAACTTTGTTCTAAGAATTCATATAAGACCACAATAATTAGCATAGGTATCTTTACATATTATACTAAATTACCGAATTTAAACGTGGGTTCTGAATCTAAAACTCATCTTTCGGTTCGTAAAAAATTTCACAAAGTCATTGAATTATTGATCAAGTAATTAAAAGCATTGAATCCATAACTAAAATCAAAACATATTTGATGAAAAAATTTGAATTTTGAATAAAAGAAATAAAATGTCTCAATAGATTACGTTGTTTGCCCTAATGAAATACTTAACTACTCATAATAGAAGAAAACAAAAGATTTGTATTATGTACATCACTTGATTTTAAAGAAAGATATAGAAAAGGGGATGATGCTTGCACCAAGATCTTCGTCTGCTAGTCAATGCATTGAACCCTCATTTCTTAATATTTTTCTCATTTGAATCACTCTCCTCAATCTCAAGTTGTTGTTCTTTGTATCTCAATTGTTAAACTCTTGAAAAGTGTCTCCATTCGTATATTTATACTTCCCTTAACATTTTCCCGAATTTGGAATTTTTAGGGGCTTTAAATGGGCGAAAAACCCACACCTTAGATACGTCAAGCTACGCCTACATGGCACCGCAGCTTTACGATATCTGATTGAGAATATTCAAATTGGATTGTAAAGATAACTCAAAGGACTATAGCTTTTCTAGAAGTAGCTCTTTTCCAATTCAAACGTTTACTAGGCTAAAAATAGATTTCAATCTCCGGTTAAAAATCTGGAACATAATACGAATGAAAATTGATTTGTGAAATATTTTGGTCATATTTCACTCCTTTTAACTTCTAATTGCATCCAATTGACACCTAACATTCTCGAATCTTCATCGTGAGATCTGACATAATGTTTGAGTATTTACACTTTAGGACACAAACGTTGGATCTAGCTATTTTTTCACCAATTTTCGCTTCTTTCAATTTCACTTCTATTCATCGAGTTTCATGTAATAAACGAATATATGTATAAAATATACTTATCAAGCACCATTATCCATGTCAATACATAAACCATAATTAGAAAATAAAGAATCTCTCATTCTCTTCTAATAATTTTCAACATCACATCTTCTTCCCAAAAGTTTCAGTAACTAAGGGTGTGTTTGAGTCACATTCTTTTTAAAAAAATGTATTTTGGAATAGTAGATTGATGGGGAATATGCAATTAAAAAAGAAAGAAAAGTTTTTTATTTGCGTATAATATTATTTTAATCAAGAATATGTGATTAAAAAGAAGAGAGAAAAATATATTTTAGGAAAATAGGAATCAAACATCCCCTAATAAAATGTATGCTAATGACAATGTACTCTCGAAGAGCCAAGGGTTGCACATGCATTCTGTCCATTAATTAAATTCCCACCTAGAAATGTTAGAATCAACCATAATGCTCAGTAAACTCCTAAAGGATGATCATGTGATAATACTATTCAACAATTCAATCATGTCAACTAAAACTCCTGGTCCACAAATTCAAGGACCACTAAACTTAGATTCCATTACCGACATGCCTAAACAGTTCATGAACAATATCTGTCTCAGCAGTATAATGCAACTAAAAGAGATATTAAAGCAGAGATGGAATGAGGAAATGCACTCTCACAGAGTGCAAATAAATTTAAATGCTCATCAAGAACAATTGACATCATGTTGTACAATATAAAACAACTTAAAGCGTGCATTACTCCGAAGCATTCTTTCTTGCTTTAGTTAGCAGCCCAATCAAAGCTACTAACTAAAGACAAACTACTCTTCTTGGATATTGATCGGAGGTGTGTCTTTTGTGGACTTTTTGAGGAAACTTGTGACCATCTATTCTTTAAGTGCTCCTTTACTTCATCATTATGGGGAAGTATTAGGAGATGGCTTGGCATCACAAGATCTATGTCTACACTTGCCATTGCACTTAAGTGGATGAAAAAGGAGAATCGTGGAACTTCGTGGCTGACCAAGACGAAGAGAGTTGCTCTTGCTAGCACAGTTTACTACATATGGCTTACGAGGAATAGGAAGATTTTTGAAGACCTCCCGGCCGACTTGGATTCTATTGCTAGAAGGATCAAGACCCACGTATACAAAGTCATGTTTACTTTGTATCCGGATATCTTGATTCTTTATGAATCCTTGGCCATGGAGCTTTGATTTCTTTGTATTAGCTTTTTACTATCTTTGCCCGGGTATGCCTGGAGTACTTGTTTAGGTTTTTGGACATTGATTTGCCCGGGTATGCCCGGTTTACTTGTATTTGATTATGGACATTGTCTCGCCCAGATATGCCCGGTGTATTTGTACATGGTACATTTTTTATCTATATATTTACATTTACCGATCAAAAAAAAAATAAAACAACTTAAAGCCCACAACCAAGCTAAAGTTTTACATTTAACATAAACTTACTGTGGAAAAACACATAGATATGCAGGTTATTCTTATGTTGAGTGGCTACTATAGAAATTTCATGTAAGTACGGAGTAACACAGTTTTACAGAAAAGGCTACAATCGGAAGTACAATACATTCCCTCAGGAAGCTAAGACTTATCTAAATGTATTCAGTAGCATTAGAATCACCTGTTAGAATAAAATAACGTAAAAATTGGCAAGAAACACATCATGGGACTACACAAGGACTTGTGTTAGAAACACATACTTTGTACAGTTATTTATGCTCTCTCTCTCTCTCTTTTTCGTAGTAAGTCATCCTGTTATATTTCCTCTACTGGCAATTCAAACTTGTCAACTTCTTCAAAATATGCTCTCTGCTGTTCAACAAAATCTGGTGGCAAGCAAAAGTCATTAGCACCTTTCTGCTACATGCACCTCTTCAGCAAAACCACATTGTCCATGAACATCAATACTGGAATTTGGCATATAAATAAGTAGTATCGAATACTTGCTCTATAAAAGGCGTTTTTAGCACAGGATAGTCTTGAATGAAAGAGCCCTTTATTGAGTTCATGTATTGTTAGAATTGGTTATACTCTTATCTCCTGAGCCATCAGAATGTGATGTTGAATGCTTTAAATAAATACGAGGCTTATGCCAAAGTTGGGGATATTCATAGCCAACACCAACAGCAGTCAAAGGACATTACATCGAGATATTAGGACAGTCGTGTAACCTTTTACCATCAAAGTTCAGTACAGCAGGGAATTTGGAATATGATAGTCATAAGAGAGAGCAATGATGCTTTATGTGAACTTGAACAGACAATATCATCTGATTATCTATCGGAACCCTATTCTATGGAGGCTTTCATGCTTGGACAACTGCAAGATTCCCAATAGTAGAGCCACCATTTTATCTACCAAGAAATTTTTATAGAAATATTCTTTACATCGACGACTATATGGTCAACTAGTCAAAAGACCTGTCACAAATATAATTGTTGTTTAATACAGAACAATTTTGTTTCCATAACGTTCATCCCCACTTGAGAGAAAGGGCTGATCATAGAGCCAAAAGAAGAGCCTAATATTTTTATTGTAAAATAGAAATTAGAACATAATAAAATAAATGACAACCTAGTCTGCTGGTTTGAATTCAGTTTTATGATGCTCTTATTTTAGTTAAATTTCCTCAGGAAGTTAAAAACCAGATAAAACAACTATATTGCGTTTTTGAAAGTTAAGCCTTGAGAGCCACCTAGCACAGGACTTTGATTAGGAGACTCAAGGCTTACACTTGAGCATGTTCGGCAAATAAGCCCATGGCTTATACTCTACTTATTTCTCATTTTGTGTGGAACCTACTCCCATTACATTTTTAACCACATATTTGTGTGGGGTCCATGGCTTATAAGCCATGAGCTTATTTGCGAAACTTGCAAATGTCCTCGGTCAAGGCTTAAGCCTCAACTTACTTAGACACTATGATGCACTGACACGGACACTTGTATCCAATATGATACGTGTCAGATACGTCAATTCGTGACTTTTCAAAAAAGTACCGATACGATAGGTCACCGACACGTTTATTAAATTCTTTAAAATTCTTCATTTATGTAGTCTAAATTTAGTTTTATTCTCATTATTGATTTTTCTTGTTGAAATCTTTTAAATATGAGTACTTATTTGTTATTTACTAATAATTTTGAGTTAAAAATATATAATAGTTATAGTAACAAAGAAAAATTATTATTGTAGAGTGTCCGTATCGATACGTGTTTGACACATGTCGGACACGGACATGCTACCCTAATTAGAGTGTTCGTGCTGTAGAGCTTAGACGCATACCTCAAGACAACAGGTGAGCATTCTGAGATTTCAAGTCGAAGATTTTTAGGTTGATTCTTCGTAGCCATAATGTGTCAAGGGTTTTTTTTGGCTGTTTTTAGACAAAGCCCAACACTAAAATTTGAAAAGAAAAAGACTGGAGATTAAAGGAAAAAAATGAAGAAATCATGCATGCACTAGCTCTTACAGCTAGCGCATGATGCCCTAAGTGAAATTACAGCTTTCTGATAGTATAAAACTGATAGCAAATATACCAACAGGCAACTTACTCCTGTTTCTGTTTATATGTTTTTTATTGTCACCACTGTGTTTTGTTTTCTTTGCTTTGGATTTTCTCCTTTTAAAGTCAGATAAACAAAATTCTTAAGTACTTCACTAGCTGCTCCAATTGTTTTAGACTTCAAATATTCAGTGTAGATCAGTAGCTGTTATGTGATTGCTATTATTTTATACTTTTCTCCATCCATTTTTTGCATCCAGTTGCAAATTAGACTTTTAATTTTGGAAATGGTTTACCATAGATTTTTCAGATAGTTATATTAGTTTATGTTGAATCTTATGCCTAACCTCACGGATAGCCTCAATATCCAAATGAGCATATGTAAATAATGTAGTTATCTAAATCTCCAATAAATAATTTCTTTCAATTAGAAAATAAAAGAATATATCGTATGTCCACTGAAACAACTTAATGTGGAATTCAAATTGGATTTAGGTGCAAACAAAGAAAATAGAAGGGGAATGTAAGGAAACTTTTGTTCCACGAGAAAAAGCAAAAGTGAAAGCTGGGACAGAAAAATACTGATAGGAATCAAAAGCAATAACCAAGAACATTGCAGTCTTGAATTCCTTTCGTGTGTCAAGAAATAAGAAATGTGTACAAATCTTTTCCCGCTTATGGTGAAGATCAGTCCATGATGTTGATGGTTTAACATCTCGAGATTCATCAAAACTATTCCTAAACAGAAAAGGCATTAAAAAAGATCAGCACATGCAATAGCTACAGGCAGAGAATGAGAGGAAATTTATTAGTCGCTGACTCGCTGGTTTGCTCCCATAATAACATTGCTTTTTAGATTACGAGCACAAATCAAAATCTGAGAAAACTTGATGTATCGTTAAAATAAGCAGAGGCACAAGAAATCAACTGTGCTATATATATCTTATGGCATTACATTTGTCTATAATAAGAAACCAGTGAATCCAATGCATTAGGAATTTTAAAGTAGGCATATCATGCACATAGTACAAGCTGTCAAAGAGTCATGACAATCAGGATATCATTTCAAAAGGTCACAAAGTCCAATTTGGCATAAACAGAACATATTACATATATTGCTCTGTGTGCAATGTGTATGTGTATGTGTTTGTGTTTGTGTTTGTGTACATGTGAGTAGAGTGAGAGTGAGAGTGCGAGGGAGAGTATATGCTACTTTATCTTCAGTAAAGGAGGGTAACTAGAAGCCCCAATATCTAGTCTTCTTTCCACTTTTTCTTCTCCAAGAAGTGAAATTAACCGGCACAGTAGCAGATGCCCTTTTATCACTTATTTTTTCAACTGAGCCAGGAACGAGTATCACCTTCCCCTTCTTCTTTGTCGCCTCAAGCAAGGAGCCAAAAGGATTAAGAATGGACTTCCCTTCTTCCTCTGTTTTCTCAATTGAGCAGTTAAAAGGATTGAGAACATTCTTCCTTTTATCATTTGTTTTCTCGACCAATGAGCAAGAAGGATTGAGGATTGTCTTCCCTATCTCTTTTGTTTTCTCGAGCGAGGAGCTAGGACTATGAATCACAACCCCTCTTTCCTTTCTTTTCTCATATGTGCTGCTAAAAGGATTAAGGATCAACCCTTTCGTTTTCTCTATTGAGCAACCAGAAGCATTAAGAACAGCCTTCCCTTTATCCTTTGTTTTATCAACTAACAAGCTAGAAGGATTGAGGATTGTCTTCCTGATCTCATTCGTTTTGTCGAGTGAGGAGCTATGACTAAAGTTCACAACCCCTCTTTCCTTTCTTCTGTCATATGAGCAGTTAGAAGCATTAAGGATTCCCATCCTCAGCTCTTTTGTTTTCTCAATTGAGCAGCCAGAAGCACCGAGAATTGTCTTTGTCTCTCCTTTTTCAAATGAGAAGCTCGAATGATTGGGAATTTCCTTCCCAACTTCCGTTTTTTCTACATATCCACTAAAAGGACAGAGATTTCCTTTCACCTTATCCATTTCTTTCTCCAGTGAACTACAAGAACTGCGAATTGTTTTACCATATTCCTCTGTTTTCCCAGGAGGTGGGTAATAGGATGGTACAGTAATTGCCTTTCCTTTATTCTTCTTCTTCAAAAGAGGAGTGGAGCTAAAGGTTGCAGAAACAACCTCTCTTTCTTTCTGAGGTCCATATGTTGTCTGTCTTCGACTTGATGCTCCATTCTTAGTTTTCCCACCTCCTTCAGTAAGCAGTAAGGTACAGATTAACACTCTATTATCCTTAGAATAAAATCTACACAAGAACGGGAAATAAGAACATGCATAAAAAATTGCCAACCACTACAAAGCATCTCGATCTTTGTGTACTGGGTCAAAACAACATTTGCAAACGCCCAGATTGAAATGTAAGAGAAACTAATTACACAAGTCTGATGTTCATATAAAAATCAGTTCTACTCTCCTACTGGATAATCTAAGCAAACCCAGAACTCTTCAATCTGAAACTTCAAAAATAATTTCGCACGAAAGGTACTAAATTCAAATTTAAGACTCGCAAAGCACCCATTAAACTTCCCATCATGAATCTGTTGGGAATCTACTTATACATGCACAGCGGAATTTAAAATAATTTTTGATTCCCACCAAGAATCGCCTTTGTGTTTAGATAGAAATTGTGATAAGATTGTACCTTTTCCAGATCTGCAATCCTTTTGCTTTTCTTTTCGTTCCACAACTTTGATTCGCCACCACAGCTGTCCAATTGTCCAGCCTCTAACGGTGATCCACACAGAGAATATGATTGCAGTCTCTAGGGTTTTTTCTTGTGCTAGCAAGAATAATGAAAACCTCAATGGACCTCAAACCCTAGTTATGTATTTATATAAACCCAAACAGGCTCGGCTCGGCCCAGTCCGGTCCAATAATTAATTAATCCAATTAATTAAACCCAGTCCGTGAATTAATTAATCCAATTAATTAATTCGAAAATATAAATAACAAATCCAATTAATTAATTTATCCAACGATTGTTAAATTAACCAATTGGCAATTTGCAATCTTCCAATTCTCTTTTGTGTGCGACCCATTAGGTTCCCGACCACGATATTAAGTCAATATAAATCGAAAACTCCTTTTCGACTTATGAGTACACCTTGGCCAAGGATTTGATCATTGACTTAATTGGATGAAATGCAGATCATAATCTCCTACTATCTAAGAGTGACGAATCATTTATTGATCAATCACAACCTTCATACGATTCTTGACGTACCCGAACGATGTCGTATTAGCGGCCCTTTTCAGAGCAACATCCAACACCGCCAAAGTATGACTGTCCTCATATAAGGTACCATGACGACCTCAAGTCAAAGGATCAATTTCACTACCGAACGTTAGAGATTAACCACCGACACTCAGATAGTTATCCATGTGGAATCTCTCGACGGGTCTCCAATGTTTTGTTCTATAACAAATATTCATGTGTTCATTTAAGTGTCACCACACTTTAACTTGTGAGATCAGCTACTTACTTCACAAATAAGAAATGTCACACATGATGGTCTATCCGTAATAACGATATCCGTATCTCGTTATTACTTACGACCACGGATGATTTAAGATTCAATCAGATGTAATTTGTATCTCACAATCACAACTCCTTGTGATTAACAAATTACAAATATTTGAATCTACGAACTCTATTATTTATTTAATTGTCTATTAATTAAATAATAGATCTGCCATTTAATTGCATTAATTATATATAAAAGTATTTATGTCCAAAGTTGATTGGACCTAGGGCATAATACTTACAGAATCAACAACAAAACAACGGGAAGACAATAAAAAATTCCCAAAGAAAGATGAAAATACTAAAAAACGAGTAATTATTTCATTGAGATAACAGTCCACGATTCAGAATCTAACAAATAATTCAGAAAGTAAAACATCCCATATAAACAACAAATTTCAAATTTATCATCCCCTAGATTTTTAAATTCTAAAATCACTAAAAACGCAAGCACATAGGAACGCTCAATCATTAAAAAATAAATAAATAAAATAAAATAAAATAAAAGGGGTACATAATACAAGTAAATACACCTAAACAAAATTACCAGGTGAGGCATTTGACGAGAGCGGACGACAAGGGTCAGTCGACAATTGAACTGTATGCGAATTCCGGGCGGCGCTAACATTGGATGAACCGATACTGGTACGGGACTTGGTGTCGGAATCGAAACATAACTTTTTCAGTTCTGGAACTTGGATTTGATTTTAGATTTGAATTTGGTGGTTTTGATGCGACAATCTTGCGTAGAGTGGAGGCGGGGGTTAAATTGAAGAAATTTGCCAGGTCTGATAAGGGTTTTCGCTTCCTAGTCTCCATTTTTCTTCACATATCAGTACGTTTGTGTACTGGGTCTATGAACTTGTGTGTTTGTGTATATATATGGTGTCTGCAGAGAGATGATCGCAGCGGAAGAATTTGTTAGCAACGGCAGGAACAAGAATCACAGTTCACGTTTAAATCGATCGTTTCAGACCTAACGTGCTTTTTCAAACAGATCCGTTGAAGAATTGTTCCAAGCATTACTGAACTTTGATCCACATTTTTTATTGGTTATTGAAATTTAAAATGACGAATTTTGACCACTGAACTTAGATTCATATCTTGATTGCTCACTAAAAATTAAAATGTCGAATTTTAACTACTGAACTTTGAAAAATATTATACGTCACTCACTAGCATAAGTGTTGAACTTTAAAAAAGTAGACTTTGATTTCTGTATTGTGATTTTGAAATTGTTTTTAGATTTAATATCATGATTTTAATTCAAAGATAAAATACAAGGTAAGCTAGCTAAATATTTTTGTATGCTTATATGTTTATTTTAAATTAGGTTATGATTTTGTTTGAGAAAGAACAAATGTTCAAGTTTTGAGTTTTGATAAACATATTTTATATACATTCAAGACTTTAAATAATGACAATTTATAGTTCTTTTGATGAAATATAGTTTAATTTGTGTTATATTGTGTCTAATAGGTGAAACCCAAGCGAAAAATTGAGAAACATTGCGAAGTTAAAAGTATGGGGACTAAATTGCAACATTTCAATAGTCACATCGGGACATAAAATGAAGAGTAAAGATGCTACAAGTTCAATTGGAAGCTAAAGCGACGAAATCACAAGTGAAAGGATAAAAAATGCATTATGAAAAGCTCAGAGACCAATTTTGCAACCATACTTAAGCATAGGCTTGCAAACCTTGTGTAAACAAGGTCTCAAAAATCCGTACTTTAGGCTAAATCAAGTGTATTGTGCCACCAAATGAACCATGCTTAAACATGTTTCAATTTCAGGAAAAATTTTTGTTTCCTTATCTTGTTTGGAAACTTTTTATATACAATATTTTGACACTCTATATATACCGTCCAAAACTTGGGACACCCTCCATTTGACCTAAAAATCACATATTCTACATATTTTGGAAGAGAAGAACAAGGCGCAAATGATCAACCAAAGGTAAATTATACAAGTTTATTGAAGAATATTCATTTATTTTTCAAAATTCAAGTCAATAAATTGGATTTCTCTACTTTCTTCATTATATCTCAATCCAGGGTGATGTCTTTTCATTATTTCTTGCATAGTTTAATAATTAGGATGGTTGGCTATGTATTTTTAAATTGTATTGGATAAATATTTGAACCCCATTTTCATTTATTTTAATTCAAGTCTTCAATTTAGAAATTTTGTGTTATTGTTTGATTGATTTTACAAACCTATTGCATTACTTATTGCTTGATCATCAATTAAGTAGTTAGTTGCTCGTTGCAGTATAGGAATACTTACAATAAGTCTAGAATGCGGTAAAATCAACATGTATAGTTAGAATTAGAAATAATCTCCCACACATTCAATCTTATTGATAATCTAAACTAAATGCATGACTTTCATTTGAATTTGGATTGGAAATATGATCGTCTTGTGTTAGTCATAGGTTGATGTGTCTTAAAAAAAACATTTAACATATTAACTTTATTGGTTATCAAAAATGCATGAACTGAATAGAATGATTATTGAGAATTGAGATAAATGAAAGTATGGGAATACATGAATTCAATACAAGTATTCACATTAGATTTAATTAATTTTTATTTCTTCTTAGTGGAGAATTAGAATAAATAACAAATCACAATTCTTTTGATGTCACGACACTTCGAACTTAATAGTAGCTATTGAACTACAAATTAGACATTATTTCTTGTGGGAATGATAACTTTCAAATCTTATTACTTGTACAACGATCTTGTACGCTTATAGATTTTGTCCAAACAAGTTTTTGGCGCCGTTGTTGAGGAATAACAGATTTAATTTTAGTTTAGTAACTTATATTAGATATTATTTTTATTTTTTGTGTTTTTTCTTATTTTATTTATTTTATCTTTTATTTTATTTTATTTTTTATTTTTATTTTGGTTACTCACCCTGATATCTTTTGTTTGGTATTCTTTTCATGTGCCGCTTAGTAGTGTGTCTAGGATTCTGATGCTAGTATGGTAAAAAGATTTTTGCAATAAATAATTTTGACATGAACTACAATGAAGAAAATATCTATTGTGAATTCTGCTACGGTGTACATTATACAGGCTATTGCTTGAATACGTGCACTGAACCCTATCAGCTCAAGCTCCTATACTTTAAACAATATTTAAGATATCAAAAACTAGCAATTGACACATCTATTGAAGGTTAGATGCATATGGCCGAGTGTATCCCTTCCAACACGCTTGTAGGATTTGGTCTTTCCATATTGAACGAAGATATACTTATAAAATACTACATTGATCTTACCAAGTTGGATAAAAACAAACTGTGTGTAGGAGATGGCGTATTCTGATATGAATTTAAAATGTGGGGGCAGAATCCATTTAAAAAGTTTGAAAGAAAAGAGTTTCCATGACCCGTGGATTTAGATTGTGAACTAGCCATTTAACCCGATGAGATATCAATTATAGAAGATCATAACAAAGATGATGAAAGTTCAATCACAAATGATAAAACGAAGATGAGGAAATTAATGAAGAAGACGTTAACCCACATTTTGTCGACATCATTATCCTCTCATTGAATTTGTAATTATGTCCAAAGAGGATGAAGAAGTCTACATAGTTGAATTTGAATCAGATGAAATAGGCAAATCATATCACATTGGAGGGGACAATGGTAAAATTTGTAGAAGCAACGAAGAGTAGAACAAAGTTAAAATAGGCAAACTGAGCAAGGCATTAAAGACGTTCTTCGAAATTCCATGATGTCGCAACAATAAAGTTAAACTAAAGACTTTAAAACAAAGCACTTATTGGGAGACATCCCAATTTTTCTTTTCTTTTTATTATTTTACTTTCTAGTCATATGATAATTTAGATTAGTTATTAGTTTTAATTTGGGGCTCATCATCCATTTGCCATTCCGGTTAGGTCTTCGAGATTTTGTTGATTTGTCAGATGTTTGAGCTAAATAACATTTGTTCCAAATATTTGATCTTAAATATTTTATCTAATTATATTGTGCAGGAACATGACCTCGCAGAACACTTAGCCCCTATTTAAGCCCCGTTAAATTTATACTACATTTTTCTCTCTTTTTTTTTATACTCATTCTCTAATAAAATAATATTACAGATAGAACAAAAAACATTTCTTCTTTTTCAACCATAGATTCTTAAAAAAAACTATTCCAAAAATTAAAACATCAAATAAAGGGGGATAAACGGAGGTTTAAACCCACAATAACCAAGAAGACAACGATAAGCAATAGAAAAAACTAGTTATTGGATTTCAAGTGCATATCAGGACAATATTTTCTTCATTCTTTTCCCACCCTGTTATACGTGAATTTAGAATTTAAGACATTGAGGACAATGTCTAGTTTAAGTTTGGGTGTGGAAAACATGAATTTTCTTTTGTTCTTTTTTTTTTTTTTTTTTTTTTTTTTTTTTTCTTTATATATTAAACAAAAAAATTTGAAAATTTTGAAAAACTCTAAAAATATATTATTTATGTGTGTTTGTGAGAGTTATTTGGTCTGGCTAGTAATGATGAATATATTGAACTATGAATTGATCTATGAATAGTGAATACATTGTATGCTTATGATAATTTTTACTTTTCCATGTGAAGTTTGATATATATTGAGCATGTAAATTAAGTTAAGCATTATGTAGGAATTAGTTGATTTCATAATTCATTATGTTGAAAATTTAGACCATGGATGCTAAACCTAAAACCACTAAATTTTACATTCTTAGATCAAATTTAGAATTTGAGATAAATGGGGATTCCATGTGCGAAATTAAAAATCTTGTATGGATTGTCCATAGTCAATATGATGAAATTGGGGAAAGTTTTAAGTTAAAGGTTGGTTTAGTTGGATATGTGTTTATGAGGGCATTGAACTAATCAAGGCATAAAAATACTTAATTCGAAAATTTCTCTGTGCAGCTTTTATGACTCAAGTTATTAAGTCTGTAAGAATGTTAAAATTTATTGCCCTAAAGTCAATTGACTTGGGAGTCATCAGCCTATAGCTTGTTAAAGAGGTCATTTAGAAAACTTAAGAGAGAGAATGATGCAAAATAAAGAAAAAAAGTGTTGAAATAAAAATCAAATATATAAAGGTAGTGCATGAAACTGAAGACGCATCAAATATCTTGGCTAAATTTTGAACACTTATTTAGGCACATTTGACTTTTGATAAGGGATTATCGGCCTAGTTAAGTCTTGGAGATTGAAGCAATCGAAATTAAGGAAAACCTTTGTTTTATTGACATGTTAAACTGTAATTGGTGATATTTACCTGAACTAGAAAGGTAAAGATAATATAAAAATCAACCTTAGTTCAACACTTAAAAAGAGCGAAAAGAATAAGTTTCGGGGTGTGTGAATCTCATGAGTGAGGATAAGAACATATTTGACTATTAAGGGTCGGAAATGGAACAACTTATGAATTAGTGATGCTATGTTTAATTCTTCACACACACTCGTTAACTTTGCCGTGCTTAGATTCAATATCATGATTTCAATTCTAAGATAAAATACCAGGTTAGCTAGCTAAATATGTTTACATGCTCGTGTGTTTATTTTAATTAGGTTATGATTTTGTTTGAAGACGAACAATTGTTCAAATTTAGGGTTCGATAAGCACATTTTATATACTTATTCAGGCTTTAAATACTGACATTTTATAGTTCTTTTGATGAAATATGGCCTAATTTGTGTTATATTGTATCTAATATGTGTAATTAATAGTTTGATGAAGAATTAGAGAAAACAAGAGAAAAATAGAGAAAAATGGCGACTTAAAACTATGGGGACTAAATTGCAACATTTCAATAGTTGCATCAGGACATAAAATGAAGAGTGAAGGTGTTACAAGTTCAATTGGAGGCAACTGGAGACTAAAGGGATGAAATCACAAGTGAAAGGATAAAAAAATGCATTAAGAAAAGTTCAGGAACCAATTTGCAATTAGTCCGAAAAATTTGTACCATGCTCAAGCATAAGCTTGCAAGCCTTGCTAATTGGTCAAAAAATTTGTACCATACTAAAGCATAGGCATGCAAGCCTTGCGTATGCAAGGTCTCAAAAATTTCTACTTAAGGCTAAATTATATGTATTGTGCATAAGCACAAAATGAACAATGCTTAAGTCTGTTTCAAATCTTGCAAAAAAAAAAAAAAAAAAAAAAAAAAAAAAATATAATAATAATAATAATAATAATAAATAAATAAAATTGTTTCCTTATCTTTTTTTGAAAACTTTAAATATACATTGAAGTAATTAATTACTATTTGCAGTATAGTAATACTCATAATGAGTCTAGATCAACGTAAAATCGACATTAGTTAGAATTACTAATAATCTATCTCATATATGCAATCTTATTGATAATCTAAACTAAATGCATGATTTACATATGAATTCGAAGTAGGAATAAGATCGTCTCGTGTTAGTCATAGGTTGGTGTATATTGGAAAAAAAACATTCATCATATTGGCTTTATTGATTGTAAAAATGCATAAATTGAATAGAGTAGAATGATTATTGAGAATTTAAATAGATGAAAATAGGGGATAAATGAATGCAATACAAGCATTTACATTAGATTTAATTATTTTTTTTTATCACTTTCTTAGAGTAGAATTAGAATAAATAACAAACAAATCACAACTTTTTTTATGTTATCACACTTCGAATTTAATAGTAGGCATTCAACTATAAATTAGACCTTATTCTCATGGGAACGATACTCTTAACACACAAATCTTATTATTTATACAACGATCCCGTATGTTTACAGGTTTTGTCCGAACATGATGACTGTTATTATCAGAGACAGATTTGGGGGGCTGGGCAATAGCCCCTCCCCCCACTCAGGCTTAAGAACATTTTTTAAGGTATTTTTTATTTTTATTTTTTGGTAAAAAACCAGTTTTTTATATGTAAATTTTTTTTCTACGTAGTCTGGTTTGAAATTTTGTTGTCCGATTTTGGATCCAATCCTGAATCTGTCCCTGATTATTATGTTCCCAAACTTACACGATTCTTGATTTTCATTGCATTTTTATATTATGTTGGTTATTGGTACTATTTTATCTGTTCTTTAGTAGTTATTAAGTTGAATAATTCTATTAAGTGTTTGGGTCATATGATTAATATTCTCTATGTTTTAAGTTCTATGATTGACTTTATATATAACACTACTATTACTAAGAAAAGAAAGATTATCTAGTACTAATGAAACTCTCTTATAGCATCTTAGACTATATCATATAAATCTAAATAGGATTCAAAGATTTTTAGAAGATGGACCTTTAAATGAGTTAGAGGTGAATTCCATACCGACTTGTGAATCTTGTATAGAAGGAAATATGATCAAGAGGCCTTTTAAGGCTAAGGGACTGACAACTAAATAAGTTTTGAAATTGGTACATTCTGATGTTTGTGTACCCATTAATACTCGAGCTAGATGAGGATATGAGTACTTCATCACCTTCATCGATGATTACTTTATATTTGGGTACATATTCCTTATGTCTCACAAATTCGAAACTTTGGAGAAATTCAAGGAGTTTCGAATGGAAGTTAAGGAACAATTAGGTAAGAGTATTAAGGCCCTTCGATCTAATAGAGGTGATGAATATCTATCCTAAGAGTTTAAGATCTACTTATCGGATAATGGGATATTGTCCCAATTGAGTATACAAAGGACTTCCCCAATATAATGGTGTCTCAAAAGAAGAAATCGAACTCTTTTAGATATGGTAAGATTAATGATGAGTTATTTCTTGTTGCCTATTTCCTTTTGGGGATATGTATTATAAATGACCATTTAGACCTTGAAATTAGTATTATCTAAGTCAATTCCCAAGACACCTCTTGAATTATGGAATGGGTGCAAGCCTAATTTGTACCACATTCAGATATGGGGTGTCCGACACACGTGCCAAAGGAAAAGACGGATAAGATGAAATCGATCAGAGGTCTATTTCTTTGTAGGATATTGAAAATGAACAAGAAGTTACTACTTCTATAGTCCTCTAGATAAAAATGTATTTGTCAGTACAAATTCAATATTCTTAGAGAACAAGTATATAGAAAAACACAAGTCTATTAGTAAGATTCTATTGGAAGAGGTGTTAGAACATGGTTCAAACAATCCAGTTCCAAATTTCTGCAAAGAATCGGACATTCATGACTTGGAACCTCTTACAAAACCAATGGTTGCTAATGAGTTAAGTGACCAAGTGATGCTCACAGTATGTCATGGACAAACACAACCAAAGGTAGTAGACAATGAAGCACATGTTGTACCTCTACATGCCCATCATAATAAGCATAATGAGGAGGATGGTCCCAACTAAGGATAGAACCAAGTAGTGGGAGGAGAGGAATGACCTTTGATTAGACAGGACGAGAGTCCTATCAAGCGATCTCTACTGAGTAAGAAGAAGATCTCACTTCGTTTAAAGAAGCGATGGAGGATGTAGACTTTAAATCATGAAAATATGCCATGAACTCAAAAATGGAATCTAGTATTCCAACAAGGTTTAGGATCTTGTGGATGCACTAATGGGATCAAACTTATAAGGTACAAGTGGATCTATAAAAGGAAAAGATTGGGAGATTGAAACCTTCAAAGCAAGGCTAATTTTCCCTAGAGAGAAGGCATTGACTATGAAGAAACCTTCTCACTAGTTCTATGCTTAAATCTATTCGAATCATTTTTTATCCATTGTAGTCATTATGATTATGAGATTTAGCAAATGAACGTCAAGATAACATTTTCAATGGACCTCTTAACGAGATCATTTACATGATGCAACCTGAGGGGTTCGTGAAAGAAGGCTATGAAAGGAAAGTTTGCAAGTTCTAAATATCCATTTATGGAATTACACAAGCATCCAGGTCTTGGAACGTAAAATTTGATCAAACCATTAAGACCTATGCTTTTCAACAAAATCTAATGAACTTTGTGTGTACAAGCATATATAAGGAAAGAAAGTTATCTTTATGATTTTTTATATGGATGGCATTCTACTCATTGAAAACGATGTAAGGACATTATCGTCTTTAAAGAAATGGTTGTCACAATAGTTTGATATAAAGGACTTGGAAGAAGTTAGTTATGTTTTTTCGCAATGTAAAATTTCAAAAATGACAACTTTATTTTAGACATGAAATTAATCTACATAAAGAGCATTATCTTAAGACCCCAACGAGATAGATTGCATGAAGAAGGTTCCTAATACTTTGGCTATGGAGAGCCTCATGCATGCTATGCTTTGCACTAAACTGGATATTTGTTATATTATAGGTATTGTTAGTCATTATCATTCTAATCTAGGACCAGAACATTGGACAGAGGTAAAGCATATACTCAAGTTTCTTTGAAGAACGAGAGATTATATGATTGTCTATTCATGATATGATCTAAATCTTATTGGATATATTGATTCCGATTCTCAATTCAGTTATGACTCTAGAAAGTCCACGTCGGGTTCAGTATTTACACTAGAAGGTGGAATCGTGGTATGGAGGAGTATCAAGCAATCTTGTATTGCTAATTCCACTATGAAGGCAGAATATGTAGCCACTTGTGAAGCTGCTAAAGAAACTGTATGGTTCAAGAGTTCTTTTTTTGTCCTTGACGTAATATCTTTTGTAATAGAATTTATAATACTTTATTATGATAATAGTGCTGTTAATTCAAACATAAAGACCCAAGGACTAATCGGTGTGGTAAGCACATTAAGAGAAAATATTACCTTATTAGAGAGATTGTTCATTGAGAAGATGTGACAGATAGCAAGATTGTATCAGTAAATAATCTTCCGAATCCGTTCACCAAGAGTTAACCAACTAAGGTTTTTAATGGGCATCTTGAGAGGATAGATATTCTTGATATGTCATATATACTCTAAAAGGGCAAGTGGGAGATTGTTAGTTTGATGTCCTTTGAGTACTATTTTGTAAAATGAAGTGATTAATTAATATTCGATCATTTACGTGTTATAATTTGAAATAATTATCTAAGGTTCCATGATCACATAGGACACAAATTGTATACTCGGAGGCTCAAGTATAGTGGGACATAATTTGTGAATATGATAAAAAAATATAGTTTACAATCGGTACATAAGTTGGACAACTTTATGTTGATAAAATTATATTGTTCTTATTGAGGTTTTTTTTCTAAATTTAGGAATACGAACAATAATGTGTTTTGGTGCAAATCGAATGTGACTGCACGTAAATTACTCATTTGTGGTTGCTCAGAATGATACTGAGATACTCTACTCAATTATCAAAGAAGTCTTCTAAATTCTAAACAAGTAATGTACCTTTGATTGTTAGTTTAAGTTCTTTGAGATATGAATAGTTTAAGTCTTAATTAGAAGATTGATCTTGGTGCTTTAAAAATCGGGGCTAAACAGTTAGAGATCATATACTTGTAATGATGGAATTAATTATCGTGACGAAACGATTGTCACTTTGAAGCATTTTTTATAGGCAATCGAACTTGAGCTTAGTAGTCTGATCATGGAGTGGTTGGACTCTATGTTGTGATTAGTTTACAACGGATTAGCTTTATGACAATGAGACTTGAATGGTAATACATTTTGAAGGGCAAAACAATCATTTTACCAATTTCCACATGTTGATGGTTATGGTGGTTGACCTGTGGAATGATGATTGGAGGAAATTGTTATCTAATCATACTTTGCTTCCATGATTATCACTCGACTTGAAAATGCAATTTCGACCTTTTGGTAGAATAAGCCGGGATTGATAGATGTATCTCAATTGATTAAAAGTTGATCCGATTAGAAACATCTAATGAAGCTTGAGTATTGTGAATCCGATTAGGTTCCTCTCTTGGCCCTTATAAAGGTGTGTGATATTTCCTAAAAGAAAGAAAATTAAAAGAGAACAAGGGAGAAAATTAAAAGAGAACAAGGGAGGATTTAAAACTAAAAATAAAAAATCCCAATGAACTCACGGTGAACTAAGATCCATTATTAATCTTCAAATGAAAATTAATTTCCTCTTGTGATGATTAAATCCAATAACTAATAGTAACTTCACATGGAATTTTTAATAATTATTAAATACAATCTTGAATTATGGAGGAATGAACTGATGACAAGAATTAACCATGTTTGATTTAGCTATATATCAAAATTTTAATAAATTTGGATAAAAATTGATGAAATATATAGTTGAAAAATTGATAAAAATTATAAGTTCTATAAAATATATAACTGAAAATAAATTTTAGAAAATATGAGTTTTGAAAAATATGAGCAAAACATGACTTGGCTCCTGTTTGGTGGAAATGAAAATAGATGTTCAGCACATTTTGATAAAAGTCGATGAAATATATGGTTGAAAAGTTATATATTCAATAAAAAATGTGATTAAAATTAATTATTTATTTTGATTTTAATAAAAATTTAGATTTTAATTTAACATGAGTTTAGTTAGTAAAACGCACTTTTGAATCTATATTTTTCCCTTTTATTCGAAGGATTATTATAAGTATTTACAGGAAAAAGTTGCAGATTTTAACGGACTCCACAGCCTCCAAATATTTTTGTCGGCCGTCTCTATTTATTTATTTATTAATTCCCACTTTTCACAGTTTGTTTTGTATAGAAGTTTGTGAATTCTTCATGTAAATTACACTCGAAAAATTAATCATGCCATACCACAATTGCATTTTTAAGTTTTTCTTTTTAGTGAATTTTAAATTAGTCACGTGATTTTTTTTTTATTTTCTTTTTTTTACGTTCTAAAATCCAAGATTGTAAAAAATGAAAGTGAACCTTATTTCATTTATAATTGATCACCTTGATTGAGTTTTACGTTTTACTTCTAATTTTTAAACGTATATATTTTAAAGGAAAAAAAATCACGGAATCCTAGTATTAATTACTTGTTTGGTACATATTTTAAGTCAATTAAAATCAATTTTTTGACCGTTATTATACTATTCTAACAATCATTTTTGAATTCTTTTCTTATAGACAGGACCCACTTTATATTTAACTGTCAAAAAATCATTATCAAAATCCCCACCAAACAAGGACTTATAAAGTTTTATTAATTAAGATAATCAAAATACATTACATAAAACAATATAATAGAAAAATACTTGGACTAATTTCAATTTTTATAAATTCAGTAATATCTCAATTATGTGCAACATTAATTTGTCATCTTGTTATCCCCCGTTTATTGGTAAACATTCCATAATCATGTCATAACTATCAAAATTTGAAATCGAAGTTGAATAGAGCAGGAAATATACTCTGTTGAATAAATTAACATCAATTTTGAAATACAATTTATTTTAACATTTTGCGACCACGACATGATTTGGTGGTAGGTTGACAAGAATTTATTTTTTAACATCCACCTATAATTATCATAAAGAAAGGATAACAGGGCGACTAACATTGAAAAATAAAAAATAAAAAATTGAGTGATCTAATTGAGAGAAATTAAACTTGGGTAACTTAAACATAAAATTCTTGCATAAATATTGGAAGGCTTAAGCCTTAAGGTGCTAAGATCTTGGGGTGTAAAAAAATAGTAAAGGAATAAAAAGAAATGAAAAAGGAAACCTCTTATCGTCGTATCACTTGCTAATATACACATATTTTAGGATACGGGTAATTAGTACAAAAAGTTCATACATTTCAATATTATTGTACAAAACGTTTCACCAGGGATCTATGACCTTTCATCGTGCAAAGGTCATTTTCATCTATTTTTTAATAAAATGATGATTTCTTCAAATAAAACAAAAAGAAAAAAAAATAATTATGGTTGCAGTTGGTAATTCATCTTTTCTTTTTGTTTTATTTGAAAATGAGAGTAAAATCATTATTTTATTTAAAAAATATATGAAAATGATCTTTTGCACAATAAAAAGTGAAAGATAGGGATGAAAATGTCAAAAAAATGAAAGACAGAAATATTTTATATAATAACATTGAAAGGTGGGGACCTTTTGTACTAATTACCCTTTTGGTACTACTCCCACACATCCCACGCCACCTAAGAAAAAAGTGTAAAGTTCTAAGTTCCCTAGGTACTTTTGCTTTTGTTTAGGATAAAACCAACGACTTGTTGAAAATAACAGCGAAAGTCTGAAACTGGAGACACTAATTTCGATTCAGCCACTAGTTTTATTACAAACATTTATCAGTGCTCCAAGAATAGATATTGTTGACCTCAAAAAGCGTTGCCAACAGATACCAGATCCACCCGCGCACACGTGAGCGAATGTCCTACACGCTAAGACACGTGGACTGTTTAGAACGAACGAATCAGGGGAGTGGGAGTAGCTCAACGACGCGGGACGAGAACGTTCGGAATCCGATGGGACGTTCTTGATCCGATTGTACAAAATTACCAATCGGTGCTCATGAAAGTGAATGTAAATGTGTGTGAACTCATATTATATTGTAAAGGTAATAAGAGAGTAAAATGTGGTTTCTTGTATTGATTCTTGCATTAGCCTTTCGATGTTATACAAGGGAAATATTTATAGTGTTACATGTGAAATGACAGCCCTTAGATGAGGTGACATGTGGCCTCACCTTCTCAATTCAAACATCCAATCCTAGATATCACTCTTGACTTGCTAGCTTGCTGCGCATTTATTGCTTGTGCAGAGCCCCCATGCTAGTGATAAGACATGACATATGTACTTATGACAAACGTTCCATCAATCATTCTAACCAGATCCTTATGTAGGAGATCTCTTGAGAGAAGTGACCATGGAAAACGTCCCTTCATGGTTCGGAGGCTTCTGCTTTAGATTCAAGGCTTTTGCCAGACACGTAGTACTTCCGCTGTAGGGCTTCGGCAATCTTCACAAGCCTCGGCAGATGAGGCTCGATTAGTTTCACTAGCTTCAGCATATGGGCCTCGGCATAAAGGGTGTTGGCCATTTAGCCCACTTTGGCTAGAGTGCCACGTGGTTCGGATTGAGTGGGCCATAGGCCCACGTCGGTTGGCCAAGTATGACAACACGTAACAATAGTCCCCCAAGTCCAAGTATAATCATTTATGTAATGCGTGAACTTTAATGAAGTAAAGCCAGTGGATTTTTAACCCGAATAATAGTCTCCTAAGTCCAAGTACAAATATTTATATCATGGTTGGAGTTAGGAATGTGTTGTTGTGGGTGAATGATGAAAAAGCCGAGGATTATGCCGAGGTGGTTAGGAAACCGAACCTACGAGGCTTGGTGGCTGAATGTTGAAGATGAAGCCAAGGTGGTTGGGGAACCGAACCTGCGAGGCTTGATGGCTAAATGTTGGAGATGAAGCCGAGGTGGTTGAGGAACCGAACTTGCGAGGATTGACGGCTGAATGTTGGAATTGAAGCCGAGGTGGTTGGAAAACCAAACCTGCGAGGCTTGATGGCTGAATGTTGGAGATGAAGCCGAGGTGGTTGAGGAACCGAACCTGTGAGGCTTGATGGCCGAATTTGGAGATGAAGCCGAGGTGGTTGGGGAACAAACCTGCGAGGTTTGATGGATGAATGTTGGAGATGAAGCCGAGGTTTATTGACAATAATTGTGCCTCGACTGTTGTGCCAATGATTTGATGTTTTGCGCATGTTTTCGAGGAAAACTGATCGAACCGTTGCGACTTCTAAAGTGCCTGCCGCCGTCAAATTAAAATTGTAATTATTAGAACAGCTGGAGCTTCTAGAAGCAGACACGTTGGATAAGGTGCGTGGAAGACACGCTTGAATCTGAGGCGTAGGTTTAAAAAACTATTTGAATTCTACGCCTCGGATTTGATTAAACTGAAGGGTTCAGATTGAATGAGATTCGATTTGACGGTGGGGGTTCGTCTGGATCCTTTATAAAAGGCGAGAGAACTCCCATTTTCAGAATTTTTCAGCACTCACAATTTGATTTTTCCTCTTAGAGCTAAGGCATTCCGGTGTTGAGACAATTTCGTCCGCTGCTTTTCCGGAAAACTGTGTTCGCGTAGTTTTTCAATAGGTATTTTTCACAGAAAATCCTATTATTGTGTTCTTAATTGCTTTCTGAGATGGAGTCGACTTCGGGTAGGGAGTTGGTCACTGTCACGTCGTTTAGTCAGGGATCTACTTATAGGCGGGACTTCGAGATTGAGCAGATTTCTATGACCGAGAAGGAGGTAGATTACAATGTAGAGTGGGGGACATCTAGAGTCCCTTCGAATATGACATCAAAGAGGTTGGAGGAGATGAGGAAGAGGTACTGTGTACCTCATTATGTGGAGATACTAGTCCCCGAGGCCCATGAGCGAGCCTGCTATTCGAGGCCGGGGTGCGTGGCAGTGAGCGAATATTTATTTAAGGCAGCTATACGTCTTCCTCTACACCCCTTCTTCAAGGTTGTGATGAGGAACTTCATGTTGTCGCCGACCTAGGTTCTGCCAAATGGGTAGAGCCAGTTGGTCGGCTCGTACTTCCTGTGGAAGGAAGTGTCGCTTGGGGAGGACATGCCTTTCAACATTTTTATGACCCTCTTTCAGCCTAGGATAATAGGTAAGGAGTCCAAGGGGTGGTATTACTTGACTCCCTGGGGGGCCCATGCACCTTTTATGGTGGGGCTGACTTCTTCCATAAAGGGGTGGAAGGAGTTGTGATTCTGGATTAGGGGCAGGTGGCAGGCGGTGGAGGGAGACAAAGCCTGTCTTGCACAGTACCAACCCAGTACTACGAAACTCGTGAGTTTCCCACCCTAGTAGTTTGCATTCCTTTTTTAACTTTAATTTTTTGTCAAACTATTAATGCCTCGTTTGCAGATTGCAGTACGAGGGTCGAGCTGAGCAGGGAGGAGTTTGAAGTGATAGAGGATATTTACAAGAGACCTCTAAAGCTTCACCACTTCGACCATCTCATCGACAGAAGTCGCTATTTCATGGACTTCGAATTGATGGCCTCCAAAGGTATGAAGCTTCCACACTTGCATATTTTTTGTGTTTTCATTTCTGTGTTCTGTAGATAAGTTCAAGAGGAAGGAGTACCCAGCTCCTGACATGGTGTCCATACTGAGGACAACTTCCACTATGAAGGTGAGGCCCCTGAAGCTAGGGTCAAGTGGTGCCAAGGAGGTCCGAGGAAGAGTTGAACGACTCTCCAAGGACAACACCTCATGGGCTTCTGAAGAGGGGACCCCCCAGAGGCCAGAAAAGGCCAAGGAGCCTCGGGGGAAGGAGAAAGTCCTTGAGGAGCAGAAGAACAGGAAACTCATGCACATCTCTAGCTCGTCTGGGAAATTTGAGAGTTCTGTGTCCCAAGGCAAAGAAGCCAGACCGTCGAAGCTACTGGAAGCCTCCTCGAAAGCAGTTAAGATTGAAATGGTCAGGCGTGCAGAGGCTGACGAGGTGAGAGAGGAGGCTGCAAGGAGGTAACCCGAGGTAGCTGAGGAGGAGGCCGCCAAAGAGAAACCTATTCAAGTACAAGGCAAGTCTCCGAGCTTCCTTGTCGGCAGGGAAGAGCCTCTGGCCCCAGCTTTGGTGGAGGCCACCTGATATCCAAAGCGCCACAGAAAGTTTTTATAGATTCTGGACGGATCAGTGGCAGCTGCACGCCTTCTCCTGTGATGCGATAGATTTGACCAGGGCTCTTGTGAGCTAAAGTATTAGGACCTTTGGTCTCGCGCTGGAGTGCATGGAGGCTCTTACTGACTTTCAGACGAGGACCCTGTCCTCTGAGAAGAAGGCTGCCTCCTTTGCAAAGGAGCTCAAGGCAGCTAGGGTCGAAGCTGAAGATGCTAGGGCCCAAAAACTTGAAGAATGGCCAAGCTGGAGTCTACCTTGGCTCAAATAGAGGCGTTGAAGAGGGAGGTGCATGAGTCCCAGTGCGAGGTAGCCTCCTTGACAAAGAAGGTGGAGGTTTCCAATGACCATCAAAGGGTGATAGCTGAAGCCTTGGAGAAGGCTAACCTGGAGCTGGCAGGGGCCTAAGATGCGTACAAGTTCATTGAGGGCCAAATTAAGTGGTATGTAGATGATGCAACCCATGCTAGGGAGGAAGCCCAAAATGCAAGGGAGGAGGCAGTGAAAGACTATATTGCCAATTTCCACAACATTGCGGAGTACTAGAGCTTCAGCAACTACTGGAGGAACTTTGCTTATGCCGAGGTGATGGAGCGGGCTGAGGAGTTGTACCCAAATCAAGACCTGTTGCAACTCAGGTCGGAGTTTGTGGATGAGGTGCCTCAAACCCTAGTTGATGAGGCGGTGGGAGATGAAGCAGTAGAGGCAGGAGAAGCAATTTCTGACGCTCAAGCTGCGGAAGTCCTAGCTGCTGAAGCACCTCCATCACCTTCCCAGGCTTAGGATAGTTTTCTTTTCAGTCATTGATGATGTATTGGCCTCAGGCCCTCCTTTGTATTTTCCATTGAAAATCAATATAATATCTCTTTCATTTAATGTTGTTCCTTTCTTTGAAGTGTGTTGGCCTTGCTAAATAATTGATCACAATATTGACTGAAGAACTAAACAACTTTAATTGGGTATCCTAACTCCAATCACTTTAACAAATAAATTGCATGAAAGTTATGACCAATATTGGATTTAAGCAAATGAATTGTACTTAAGCTTAATAACCGTTACCTGAGGAGGTTTTAAGAATAAATCGTTGCAGTCGAATTCGTGTACGAGCCTCGGATTTGAAGCGAGGTGGCCCAGAAAAGGACGCTTGCCTCTCCTCCGAGGTGAAGACGCTTCCCAACATGGTGGATGGTGCAGCCATATTGAGGCTTCTCCCTTGACGTTCAGCCTTGTCAAAAGGGAGACATGTGCATGCACCTCGGAGTTCAAGCGAGGTGGCCTAGAAACGGACGCTTGCCTCTCCTCTGAGGTGACGACGCTTCCCAACATGGTGGATGGTGCAACAATGTTGAGGCTTCTCCTTTGACATTCAGCCTCGTCAAAAGAGAGGCATGTACATGCACCTCGGTATTCAAGCGAGGTGGCCCAGAAACGGACGCTTGCCTCTCCTCCGAGGTGACGACACTTCCCAACATTGTAGATGGTGCAGCCATGTTGAGTCTTTTCCCTTGACATTCAGTCTCATCAAAAGGGAGGCATGTGCATGCACCTTGGAGTTCAAGCGAGGTGGCCCAGAAACGGACGCTTGCCTCTCCTCCGAGGTGAGGTAGAAATGCGACACGTTAATTTAATCACATAATTTTATTGAACCATAGAAATGTTACAGGAGCTGGGATAGGTCGTCCAGCGTGGTAGTACATTCATTGGTAATAGATTCTGAGGTGCTAGATGTTCCATAGACGGGGTTGGGCCTTGCCGTTCAGGTCTTCAATCCAGTAAGTCCTAGACCGGATCTCTTCTTTAATTTTATATGGGCCTTCCCAGTTCGGACCTAGGGAACTGAAACTAGGTTCCTTTGAGGAAAGGAGAACTCTTCTAAGGATCAAGTCGTTGATTCAGAATGATCTCTTCTCAACCTTTGAGTTGAAGTACCTCGTCATCTTCCTTTGATATGTACCGAGCTTCAACTGGGAGTCATCTCTTCTTTCTTCAATGAAGTCGAGGTCGCACCTCCTAAGCTCGTCATTTGTCATCTCACTAAAATGCAGACGTCTTGGAGACGGTAGTCCAACCTCAACGGGGCTCATTGCATCAGTTCCAAATGCCATGAGGAAGAATGTTTCCACAGTTGGGGTCCT